TCCCCATCTTTTTTTTCCTCCCAAATCTATTTTATTTCAAGGAGAAAAAGAAAAAACTACAACAAAATTTCAGAACATGTCAGTCAGGACCTATTTCTTAATGTGCACAGTTAAGTGGCATAATGAACATTCACAGTGTTGTGCAGCTGTCATTATCACTCATCTATAAAACTTTTTCATCATCCCAGAGTTTGACTACCTATGTACAGTTAGCAGATAATATGTTCCATCACCATTAACAAAGTTACAAGTATCATTCTGTTTATAGTGCTAGACACTTAAGTGAGTTACAGGGCTACCTAAAATAGAAAATATACTCATAATTCAGTAAGCCAGGAAAGTGGAATAATCATCTACTAAAATGTTATTCCTGAGTATGTTCCTACCTACAAATAAGAAAACTTTCTTGTTTAGCATGCATGAAGTTACTTTAATCCTTAACATCACAATAAATATATAAAAATAAAACTCAGAAAATATCATAATATACATTACAATATAGAAATTTTCTCCTGTGATTTTTCTCCTTAGCTTAGGTTTTTATGAAAACAGCTGAACCAGAAATGGTAGTACATGTCTATAATCCCAGCTCTCTGGGAAGCTGAGGCAGATAAATTCAAGTCCAGTTTAGGCTATTTAGCAACTTAGTGAAACTGCCTCAAAATTTGAAAATCTTTAAGCAAAAGTGTAAATACGGACCAAAATGTATAATTGTGAAATAGGAAGAAAATATTCAAATGGGAAGGAGAACTAGGGAGGAGGAAAGGGGAAAGAAAAAATAAGGAAAAAATGAAAACAAAAGTTTATAAATAAGGAGTGGGGCCAGGGATTTAGCTTAGTGGTGTGTAAGTGCCTACCTGGCAAGCATTGAGATTGTGAGTTCAAAGAGGAAGAAAGGTTAAGAGGCAGGTAGGGGAATGGGGAAAGAATCAGGTTATTTCATGTATGGGTACAAATTCCCTATGATGAATGTGATCATTATGTATTCCTGAAATGTATCAATAAACTTAATAAAACAAAAGTCTTAGAAGGGATGAGGATGCAGGTCAGTGCAAAGACCCTGGGTTGTTTGGTTTCTTGGTTTTTTTTCAGTACCTGGGATCAACTCATGACCTCACACTTAGGTAAGTGCTTGAGCCACTAAGCTATCTCTCAGGCTAAACACAGACACAAAGTAGACAAATCTTCTGATTGGCTATACCTAGTCATTTTCTGTTTTTTGCTCTCTAGGGCCAAGGGAAAAAAAAAACCTGGATGAAGAGTATCAGCATTTTTAAAGCTTATCTCATGTCATTAAATTCTCTCTAGAAAGGCAAGCATTTAATACTTTAAGCACATTTCATTGCACTCATTTTGGAGTAAGTATTTTACAGCATTTTTTTCCTTGCTTTTTTTTTTTTTTAAATGCTGGAAATCAAATCCAGGATCTCCTGCATACTAGGCAAGCATTCTATCATTGAGTTATACCCTGGTCCTGAGTTTTTTTTTTTTTTTTTTTTTTTTAAACACATTTGTTGAAATAAAATTCACATACAGTTTAGTTCATCCACTTAAAACTATTATACATAACTTAGTGGCTCTTATTTTTATTGATTTATTTGTTCTTTGGTAATTGAATACAGGATCTTTATACTGGGATATACCTTCTCCTTTTTTTTTTTTTCCTGTCTTTTGAGACAGGATTTGCCTATACTTTTCAGGCTGGTCTTGAGCTCACTTTGTAGCCCAGGCTGGTCTTGAATATGTAACAGTCCTCCTGCCTCAGCCTCCTGAGTGCTGGGATTGCAGACACGTGCCACCATGCCCGGCTACCTTCTTTTTTTGAGACAGTCTTGCTAAGTCACTAAATTGTCCAGACTAAATGCAAATTTGTGATTTTCCTGCCTCAGCCTATTCATGTGCAGGGATTACAGGCACATGCTGCAACACTGAACTCATCGAATGGCTTTTTTTCTCCCAATGGCTTTTAATATGTAGATTCATAACGATCACCACAATCAATTTTAAAACATTTTCACTACTCAAAATAGAAACCTCACACTTATTAGCATTCTTTCCCTATGTTCTTACACACACTTAACCCATAATGGCCACTAATCTAATTTTTTTTTTTAATTTTATTTTGGCTTTTTCGTTTTTACCGGTACCACCGATCGAACTCACGACCGCCTACTGCGTTTATGCCGCTGAGCTAAATCCCTAGCCCCCACTAATCTAATTTTTGTCTATATGGATTTATCTGTTTGGGATTTATCTAAATGGAGTCACACAATACGTGATCTCTTGTGCTAGCTTCTTTCACTTAATGTAATGTTTTCAAAACTATAGCAGTATTTTTTTTTTTAGTTGAATAATATTCCACTGCCTGGATATAATACATTTTATTTATTTATATTTTTACCAACTGACATTTGGGTTAAGTTCTGCCTCTTAGCTATTATGTCTAGTGTTGCTGTGAGCATTTTTGTGCAATTTTTTGTGGATATTGTTTTCATTCTTTGGGATATAAATGTAGGAATAGAATTATTGGATAATACAGTGACCTATATTTAACCTTTTGAAACACTATCAGGCTTTTTTCCAAAGTGACCATACTAGTTTACGGCATATACAAATACTTGTTAAATGACTTTTTTATTTCAGTCAGTGTGATAGGGTGAAATAGTATTTGACTGAAGTTTAAGTTCCCTTATGACTAATGATGTGGAACGTATTTTAATGTGCTTTTTTTCTCTGTAACAGAATCCCAGTAAATAAAATTGTTTTGAAAGCTATGAAGTAACTTTGCCTATTGTTTTAAAAATCATAGCCAGGTTTGGAAAATGGGCTAGGAAAAGGAGGCTGGCTGCACAGCCAAAAGATATATCACAGAATCCTTCTGGCAAGGACACAGCTTGCATGACCAGCAGTGCAATCTCTGGACCTCATTGCTATATTTCACCCTAGTAGCTGCTGATTCTGCTATAAGAATTTATCACTTTTTCATTCCTCTCACCACCAGCTTCAGGTTCAAAAATCCCAAGCAAATGTATCAGATAAAAGGATCCTAAGTTACTGTACTTCATCCTAACTTAACGAACCTGATCTATCTGGAAGAAGAAAAGACACAGGAGTAGGAAATTCCTTAAAGAAATGGGGTTTCACATTCTAACTATTTTGTGAACCCACCCAAAAGAAGAAAAGTATTCTGGAGGAACTGACTTTTGAGCCAAAAAAATGTTTAATAGTTGGGCAAAATTTTTTGCTCCTATTGATAAGAGTCTTTTCACATCAGATTTTATTCAACATGCCCAGTGTTTGAATACCTGTGAACAAACAATTAGCTGATACTGTCAACTGCTACATAATGGAAATTACAACTGAGGCAATCTGATGAATTAAGGAGCTGTAATTAGAGAAAATTAAAATGACAATGATAAGGAGTAAAACTGAAAGGTGGTGGAAGCACACTGCTCAGACAAAGATCAAGGTAACTGCCCAACAAAAGTAAAAGAAAATTGGGAAGGGCCATCAGTTTGAGAAACTTAAAGGGGCTACCAGTCTAATCAGATAATGTAACAGTCCTTCAGATTCAGACTGGCCTGTTAAAGAACAGGCAGCAGTTTTATGTGGTGCTGTAGTGAACTCTAGAAGAATCTTTAGGGATTGGTGTATACTTGAGCAATTGAGTTCCCAGAGGATGACTGTTCTTGCTTGGGGGCAGCCTTCTGCCCCCTTGTGGGATAACTGGGAGGTGACCGCATCATGGGGTGATCTGTAAGGCTCTGTTTTTCCTGGAAGCCTAGAGGTTTGAACGTTGGAAACAATGTCTGGAACTTCTGGGCATTGCTCCAGGACAGAACAGAACTTTGTGAAAGCTGATTATTGGATGTCCCTGTAACTCCTGAAAATGACTAAATTACTTGGTGTCTTAAAAGAGGGACCTTATGAGCTAGGTAAAGTTAGTGTTACTGAATCCTGTATTACATATACTCTTTAAGTGATTAACATGGCTATATGCATAGCTGAGTAGGGATCTGACCTAAAATTTTAAGATAATAAAGGAGACAAAACTGAAGGCAGAGATTCCAAGCTTCATTCTGCTCTTAATTACCTATTGGCCATCTAGATCCCTCTTACAATATCTCCTGTCATCTTAAAAAATTACGGATATCATTTGTTTATACTAGTGTTAGACATTTGAATTTAACAAATCTTCAGTCTAGTACCACATTAACATGGAATTATCCCTGTAATCAAATAGGCCAGAAAGGTAGACTAATAATCAGATGATTTTTCCAATGCTGTACTTAATGTTTTTTTTATTGTGGAGCCACACAATAGAATATAAACACTTGAATTTTGTTCTTAATTTAACAGTCCAGTATTTTACAATGAGCATCTTTCTTTTTGGGAAATGGGAAGAAGTCTTTGCATGTGGAAGATACTTACTTTTCCTCCAACTAATTCTGTGAACCCACTGATCTATCAACATGTACTTTGTAATTTATATACAGAACATTGTCTAGATACTGTAGTGAATAGAAGTAGTAAATAGAGGTTGGGTGTGTTGGTGCATTTCTATAATCCTAGCACTCTGGGAGACTGAAGCAGGAGGATCACAAGTTCAAGCTCAACCTGGGCAATTAATTGTGCCTTAGTAAGATCTCAACAGAAAATAAAGAAATAAAAACAGAGATGTGGCTCAGTGCAAAGGCCCAGAGTTCAGTTCCAGTACTTAAAAAAAGAAAAAAGGTAAGTAGTCTTACTTTCTGCATAGTAGGTACTATGTTACAACCACTAACTCAAAATCTGTAAGTATATGATAGTCATGGAAACCAAAATAATTTCATAGAATTTGGGGTTGAGGGTTTTTTTTTGGGGGGGGGAATTGAGGTTTTTATTGCTTGTTTAATACATTTAAGTTTTAAAATAGGGTTCCTATTTATGAATAGAATGTGTCCCTTTCAACTCATTTATGGACTGATTTTAAAGCTACCTTTTTCCCTCTTTTTTAAAAGTTTAATAGAGTTTTTTAGTAAAATGAAGAAGTGGATGGACATGTTAAATCTGCCACAAGAATTTCGTGAACGTATAGAAAGACTAGAGAGAAATTTTGAAGTATCTACCGTAATTTTTAAAAAATTCGAGCCAATTTTTTTAGATATATTTCAAAATCCATATGAAGAGCTACCAAAGTTACCACGAAGCAGGAAACAGAGGTAAGACCCTTAATCCTTATACTGTTGACATAAAAATTTTCATCTAAACTTACTAGGAGAGTTCTCTCTCTCTCTCTCTCTCTCTCTCTTTTTTTAAAGAATTTACTTTTTTTAAAAATTTTTTTATTTGAGAGTTGTTTTTCAAAAGTGGACATTTTAGGGCTGGGGATATAGCTCAGCAGCACAGTGCACCAGCCTGGAAAGCACACGGTCATGAGTTTGATCCCAGATACAAAACAAAATGAGCATTTTATCAGATGTGTCCACTTGCAAGGACTTAAGTTTTTAAAAATATCCATCGACAGTTATCAGAAATTCAGGGTAATATTTTTATTTATTTGTGAATTCTCATCCTTCATTGAAGATTGAAGAGGTGTATTTAAGTCCCTGTCAAAAGCTATAGATGATGTGTGCTTTGTGAATAGAATTTTACATGTAGTTTGGCATTATTGTTATTTGTATTTGCTGTTTCAATATTTTGTTGTTGTTTCATTCTAAGTGGTACTTACTAGGCTAGTTAAAAAAATTATACACACACTTTTTTGTCTTTTTTAGGAGGATTCCTTGTAGTGTTAAGGATCTCTTTAATTTCTGTTGGACACTGTTTGTTTACACAAAGGGTAAGGTGACACTTGCAGTTGTTTTATGCCTCTTCTATGATCCCATGTTGCTATTTGACAGAGATATTTCTGGTTTTTGTGTTTTTTTATAAAGGTAATTTTCGCATGATTGGGGATGATTTAGTAAACTCTTATCATTTACTTCTATGCTGCTTGGATCTGGTTTTTGCCAATGCCATTATGTGTCCAAATAGACGAGACTTACTAAATCTGTCATTCAAAGGTCAGACCTTTATTTATTTTTAAAAGCTAATTATTATTACTTTTTGGAAAAAATTTCAAAGATTGACCATTTTCCCTATTGCTGTCCTCTTCATACTCTCTCAAACTAGGTTTACCATCTGATTTCCATACTGCTGACTTCAGGGCTTCTGCAGAGCCTCCCTGCATCATTGCTGTACTGTGTGAATTGCATGATGGACTTCTAGTAGAAGCAAAAGGAATAAAGGAACACTACTTTAAACCATATATTGCAAAACTTTTTGATAGGAAGGTACTGTATTTATAATTAAGTGACTCAGATACTTAGGGATCAGCAGCAGCCTCAAAAGAAAAGATATTTGCAACATTGTGGGCTTCAGGGTCAAGATTCTCAGATTTCAGGTTCTGCTCAGCTGCAGAGGTGCCGTCTTCTGATCCTGTGTGATACAAGAAACTGAGTTAAGATTGTGAGCAGTTGTATTCACTGTTAAGTAAACACACTGTTGGGCAGTTGTAGATGATTATGCTGAAGAATTTTGAAGAACAAAATATCAGTCAGCCTTATAGATAATTATGAAAAACAAGAAGTCTGAGAAAGTTAACCTGGCTAATGGTGCATACCTATAATCTCAGGCACTGAGGAGGCTGAGGCAGGATGATCGTTGTGAGTTCAAAACCAGCCTGAGCTACAAAGTAAGCTCAAGGCCAGCCTGAACTGGAGTAGTGAGACCCGGTCTCAAAAAGCCATAATAACAATACTTGTCTTCATGGGCCTTAATTTCCTTCTGTCTTTTCTTTGTGGTGTTAAGAATTGAAGCCAGGAGGCTGGGGATTTAGCTCAGCGGCATAAGCACCTGCCTTGTAAGCAGGCGGTCGTGAGTTCGATCCCTGGTACCGGTAAAAATGAAAAAGACAAAAAAAAAGAATAGAAGCCAGGGTCTAATGCAGTGGTGGCAAATCTTTTAGAGACCCAAGTGTCCAAACTGTAACTGCAAACCCACTTATTTATCAGAGTGCCAACACCACAATGAAACCTGAATACTGAGGTCTTAGTTTAGGAAAAACAGTTACTATCCAGTGCTTGCTGTTGCAATGATTTGGCTCACATGTCAACAAAGAAGTCTCTGTGCCTGCTGCATGTAGGTTTGCCACCACTGGTTTAGTGCATGCGAGGCAAGGCAAGCGCTGTACCACTGGGCCCAGCACATGATTTCGTCTTTTTTTCTGATACTGAGCCATAGAATTTAAGTAGACCTTGAGATTTCTCTTTGTTAAAAGGAGGGTATTGGGAGCTGGGTGTGGTGGTGTATGCCTGTCATCTTAGTCTCTAGGAACTGAGACAGGAGGATTGCAAACTCAAACCCAGCCTAGGAAGTTTGGCAATTTAGTAAGACCCGGTCTAAAATAACACCAAAACAACTAAGAATGTAACTTGGTACAGAGATCCTAGGTTTGATTCCCCAGTATCAAAAACAAAAACCAAAAAAAAGGAAGGAGGTTGGGGTTTAGATTGTCATACTATAATCCCACAATGTATGTACATTGTAAGATTTTCTTTCTTTTTTTTTTTCCGTCTTTTCTACGATGGGGTCTCGCTATGCAGTTCAGGCTGGCCTTGAACTCACTTTGTAGCCCAGGCTGGTCTCGAACTCGAAAGAATCCTCCCACCTCAGCGTCCTGAGTGCTGGGATTACAGGTGTGAGCCACTACACCCATCTATTTTAATATTTTCTTTAAGCATAAAGCTTGTCCAGCTGGTTCCTTCTTCCTTAAATGAACTTCTGTGTTTGGTCTTCTTTCCTTAGATATGTATATGTTATACCTGTATGTCTGTAAAACATCTCTAGAAATATAAAACTTTTATTTATTCGATTTTTTTTCTAGCAGGAATTGAACTAAGGACCTTGTGCTTGCCAGGCAGGTGCTTATGTCTCTGAGCTATATCCTTGGGCCTGTAAACGTTTAAAGGAACCAGAAATTAAGTCTGATGTGCTCTGTACAAAGGAGCGCATTAGTGTCTCTAGGTATCATAACCATACATTTTGGCTTGCCTATGTTATCTGGTATTTGGCTATTATCTTGCTATAATTACTGAATTATAGCTTCTCCTTTCATTCCAAGAGTAAAACCATTATCCACACTATTCTAGTTTGGGTGATCCTCTTCCTGCTCTTGCATGTTTTGATTGGGCTGTCCAAAATACTTATTTTTATCTTTTTATTTTTTGTCCTTTTTGAGACAGAGTCTTGCTATGCAGTTCAGGCTGGTCTTGAGTTCACTTTGTAACCCAGGCTGGAATTGAACTCACAATGATCCTCCTGCTTCAGCCTCCTGAGTGCTGGGATTACAGGCATGTGCCGCCATGTCTAGCTATTTTAAGTATCAAGACTATATGTAAAGGTATTACAGATCAGATGCTATAGAATTAAAGGGTTGAAATTACTTAAGTAGTATTGTCAAGACAAATGATGGGAAATGTACATTCAGCTTCTCCATGTATGTTTTATGCTTTTTTTTGGTACTGGGGATTGAACCTTACACTTTCCAGGCAGGTACTTATGCCACTGAGCTAAATCCCCAGCCCCTCTCCATGTGTGTTAAACTCTGACACTTCGAAGCATTTGTGTCTGTCATGTATAATAATCTAAATATAGTATAGGTATATAGCAGACAATAATAATGTAGTTTTGCATTCCCTTTGTTACTTTTTGTAAACATGTAGTCACTCAGTAAATGTTATTTTTCCTTCTCATAGATCAATGTTTAACAATTTTTATTAGAATTACTTGGAGAATTTTTTTAAAATGCTACTGTGAGCCCAGATCTTAAGGTCTACCAACAATCTGCATTTTCAACCAGTTTTTTTAAAATGCAGGGCTGGGGATATAGCTCAGTGGCATAAGCACCTGCCTGCAAGTGCAAGCCTGTAAGTTTGATCCCTGATACCAAAAGTAAAAAAGAAATGCTTCTTACAATACTTAAATTTGGTTTTGTTTTTTTGTGGTATGGGGGATTGAACTCACAACCTTGTGCTTGCCAGGCAAGCACTTATGCCACTGAGCTAAATCCCTGGCCCTTTACAATATTTAAATTTGGAGAGCATTGCCATAGTCTAACCTCAAAGTATTTTTAAAACTTGACTGATTAATTGACTGATTATGGTTCAGGAGATCAATAAAACTTTAAATTCTATTTTTGATTGCTTTTTGGTACTGGGGATTGAGTTAAATCCCTAGCTCTTTTTTCTTCTTTTTTCTTTTTTTTAAATTATAGGTGAAGTTTCACTAAGTTTTCCAGGCTGCCCTCAAATTTGAGATCTTTCTAACCCAGGCCTCTGTGTAGCTGGGATTACATTCGTGTATATTGACTTTTTTGTTTTTTTTAACTTTTTGAGACAAAGTCTCGCTATATGGTTCAGGCTGGCCTTGGGCTCACTTTGTGCCCAGGCTGGTCTTAAACTTGCAGTGATCCTCTTGCCGCAGCCTCCCAAGTGCTGGGGTTACGGGCATGCAGCAACCATGCTTGGCTCATTGAGTTAATTTTTTAAAAATATATTTGCATGCTGTTTATGTTTTACCGGTCTGAAAGAAATGTTTAATAGTTCTTTTCTTGTGAGTTTTATATCAATGTGAAATTAAAAGGGAAATTCATTTTTCTGGGTGGATTAAATATGTTTAATTATATAATATTCTACAGTGATTTTTTTTTTCCCCTAGATTTTAAAAGGAGAATGCCTCCTGGATCTCTCCAGTTTTACTGATAACAGGTAAGTATCTAACATTAATTGCCTCTGACATAGGCATTGAATGGGTGTTGTCACTAAGTCTCGTTGGCTTACATTTAAGAAATCATTAGCAGGTAAAATAACTATACTCTCCTGGGAAACTCATAAATGAATCAAAGGACTTCAACATTTCTTTTCTTTTCTTTTCTTTTTGGTACCAGGGATTGAACTCACAACTGCGTTCTTGCAAGGCAGGCACTTATGCCACTGAGCTAAATCCCCAGCACCAACATTGCATTTTTAAAAGAATTTTTAGGACATTTTAGATATACATAAGAATAGCATTCATCATAGAAGATTTGTACCTGTACGTGGTATATCCTGATTCTTCTTTTTTTCCCCATTTCTCTCCTCTCTATTCAACCCTTCTTCCCTCTCCTTATTTATAAAAGCTTTATTTCCATTTTTTTTCTTCTATTCTCTTTTTTTCTTGTCCCTTCCTTACTTTCCCTCTCCTCCCTTGTTCTCCTTCTCATCTAACATTTTCTTCCCATTTCCCAATATCTAATACATATTTTGGTCTTTATTTGTATTTTCAGTATTTCACACCAGAGACACAATGCAGTATTGAAGCATGTGTGTCCATTTTATTTCAGTTATGAGCATGGTCTCAAGGTATATCCATTTACCTAGAAATGTCAAGTTTATCTTTTTTTATAGCAGAGCAGTACTCCATTATAGTAAAAAAAAAAAAAAAAAAAACCCTCATCTTTATCCGTTCATTAGTTGATGAGCATCTGGGCTATTTCTAAGATGTAGCTATTTCTTAGTCTCTCTTGCATGAACTCCTGCCCTGATTTTTATAATTTCCTCCCTCCTTCTTTTTCTAGAAGCTTGAAGTTCAACATTGGGTTATTTGGGCTCACTCTGTTTTTCTTACATGAGAATTAAGCACTGTAAATTTCCCTTTTACAGTGGCTTTTCTTGTGCCCCATTAGTTCCAGTATGTTGTACTGACATTATCACTTAAGTATAGAGACTGTCTAATTTCTTCTTTAATTTCATCTGTGACTCACTGGTTGTTCAGGAAGGCATTATTTAATTTTCATGTGTTTATAAAGTTGTGATTTCTTTTGCTGCTAATTTCCACTTTCTTTGCATTATTGTCTGATAATATACATAGGATAATTTTAGTTCTTTTCCAGTTTACTTAAGTATGTTCATTGAGCTCATATATGGTCTATTTTGGAGAATGTTCCATGTGTAGCTGAGTAAAATGTATTCTGATATTGTGGGATAGAATGGGAATCTACTAAATCCATTTGTTCAAAAGTTTGTTTCAATTCCATATTTCATTGTTTTTTGTCTAGTTGATCTTTTTGTGACAGTGGGATATTGAGATCCACCATTATAATTATATGAGGACTTAATTTTTCGTGTTCATTAATATTTGCTTTATATAGTTGGACATGCTATTTGGTGCATGTGTATTTATAATTGTTACCTCTCCTTGGATTATTCCATTTATAAAGATGTGCAGATATTCCTTGTCTCTCAATCAGTCTTGGCTTGAAATCTACTTGTCTGCAAAAAGAACAGCTAACCTAGCCTTTTTTTTTTCAGGTTACTGTTTCCATTCTTTGACTTTTAATCTATAAACTTCTTTTTGTGTTAAGTGTACTTCTTGTATGAAGCATATTTTTGAATCTTGCTCCTCAATCCGTTCTGCTAGTCCATTTCTTCTGATTGGTAAATTGAGATCATTTACATTGATGGCTATAACTGATGTGTATTAACTTACCCTTGTCATGTTATTTTCCTCTTGTTGGTTATCCTTTTTTCTTTCCTGTCTGTTTAATTGCTTGCCTTGCCTGGTGGATTCATTGTGTTGGGATTCATGGAGTTATGTAATCCTTGTTATCTCTGTAGAATGTCCTTCAGAACGTTTTGTAATGCTGGTTTGGTAGTCATGAATTTCTTCTGGTGTTCTTTGTCATGGAAATATCTATCAATTTTGATAGTTTTTCTGGTACATCAATCTGGGTTAGAGGTTGTTTTCTTTTACAGCTTGAAATACTTCACTCCAAGGTCTCCTTGAGTTGAGTGAGAAGTGTGTTGAGAAGTCTGCTGTGATTCTGATGGACTTTCCTTTGTAGGTGGTTTCTCTTCTCTAGCACTTTAAATATTCTGTTCTTGTGTTGAATTTCTGGAATCTTGACTGTTAAATGCCTTGGAGTAGTTGGATGATTTTTTTTTTTTTAATCATGGCTTATTAGAGTTCTACATGCCTCACTTACCTGTATGTCAGATTGTTTTTCTTGCTTGGGAAGTTGTCTGTCCTTACTTTTATGAACAGGTTGTTGTGTTTTGTTTTGTTTTGGTGCTGGGAATGAAACTCATGACCTTGTGCTTGCCAGGCAGACACTGTGCTAAAACAGGGGTTTTCTTTGTTTTGTTTGTTTTTGTCATTTACACTATATCCTACTTTTCATTGATGCCAATCAACTTATGTTCTTCTTCTTTTTTTTTTTTTTTTTTTTTAACTTTTTATGAGTATCGGGGATTGAACTCATGACCACCTGCTTGCAAGGCAGGTGCTTATGCCACTGAGCTAAATCCCCAGCCTCTATGTTATTCTTCTTTGTGTCATCATTGGGTTGATTTTTCATGATCCCTTGCTATTTTTTTCTTTTTTTCTATAGGTACCAGGGATCGAACTCATGACCAAATGCTTGCAAGGCATGCACTTATGCTGCTAAGCTAAATCCCCAGCCCTCTCTTGCTATTTTGAAAAAATCTTTCTTTTCAGGATTGCTAACAGCAATTTAGATCAGATACCCTGTCTTCTTATGCGTGCACTTTCAGTGGAAGTTTTAATCTCCTGGATATCTGTTTGAAACTGTCTCATGGATTCCATTTCTTCTATATGTTGGGCATTCATGGTTTTCATCATTTTCCTAAGCTCCTCTGTGTATGATCACTGTAGTTTTCTGAGAGATTATATCTGATTTGATTTTTTTCTAGAGCCTCATTCAACTAATTTGTTGCTTCAGAGAGTTAAGACGGTGGCTTTCAGATTGTTCCAGCTCATTGTCCCCCTGCATTTACCTTTGGTGAGCTGGAACTCTGGGATTGCATTTTGCTTGTGTCTTCTCATTTTTTTTTTTTTTTTTTTGCTTTAATTCCTGGGTTGATGCTTATAGATTATTTACGGCAGGTAACTTTATTGTTAGTACTGTTAGAGAATCCTTAGGAAATGACTGCTTCTCAGAGATGTCTTCCAGATGTACCTTCCTTTTAGGTTTTGAGTCTTTTACAAGATCCTACCTCTTCAAGCTATTGAAGATGAAAAGTTGCTGCCTATTTAGCCTACCTCTTGATTCTTTGGCACTGGCCTGTACTATTGTTTGTGACACTAGCAATCTCAGTCTTGGCATACAAGGAAGAACAACTGATTAGTACAGTTATGTCACCTTGAGTAAAGTACTATACTCAGTAATAATAATGGAATCAAACATAGCCTAGAAAATGACAAAATGTGATAACTATTAATTTGCCACTTTTATTTAAATAAGATTTATAGTTATATAACAAAATCTAAAACAAGCCAGAAAATGATACATGGTAAATACGCCTTCAATATGGCGATTTTACCCTTAAGGGAGAAAATTTAAATGTGGTTGGAGGAAAAAAATAGAGAAATAGAAAAGAAAGAGATTAGAATCAAGGCTGGAGGACAAGAAAAGATTACATGAACTTTGTGAAACTGATGGAGAAGACAAGAGTGAAAAAGAGAAGGAAGAAATAACAGCAGAAGAACAAGAAAACCAAAAACAGTGCTTATACTCATATAAATACAATCAAGAAAACAAAATCAGGCCAGGGATTTAACTGAGTGGCACAAGCACTTGCTTGGTAAGCATGAGGTCATTAGTTTGATTCTTGGTACCAAAAAAACAAAACAAAATAAAACCAAGAAAAAAAGTGTCTGCTTCAGGGCATGTCTCTGCTGTCCCTAGAAGACAGTATTGATCCGTGTTGATTAATCCCAGAAAACCAGCAGTCAAAATCTTCAGTTCTCCCAAGTCATGATTCTAGATTATCTTTAAGATTAATTCATCATATAATTTAGTTTTGTTCTGACAACTTAAAATAATTCTCTTTGCAGCAAAGCAGTGAACAAGGAGTATGAAGAATATGTTCTAACTGTTGGTGACTTTGATGAGAGGATCTTTTTGGGAGCAGATGCAGAAGAGGAAATTGGAACACCCCGAAAATTCACTGGTGACACCCCATTAGGAAAACTGACTATGCAAGCTAACATGGAGTGTAATCTTCAACAACACTTTGAAAAAGTAATATTATCTAGCCTGGCTTCAGTCTTGAATGATCTTTTTCTTACTCTGTGATTCTACTAACAGCAGAAGCATCTTTCAAGTTAAATCTTGAGTTTCTTCTACTAATTCGTATTTCCCATGAAAGCCTGAAAAGGTAATTTTTAAAACTATCGCATTTAGCATTTACTGTTTCTTGCTATTAATCATAGTTTGGAGCTGTTTCCTCAGAACACTTGGGTTTAATCATATATAACTTTATGTGTTTTTTGACTTAAAGAATTATGCTTTCTTACCAGTCTTTCTTTGCTTCAACTAAGCATCTGTTATGTTGCTTTAAAACTTAGCTTGCATTATTATCCATTATACAAACTATGCTTTTCTCTGACTGCTGCCATGTAACTTCAGACTTGATTATCAGTGGCCAAGACTTAATTCACTGTTTATGTGTGAAATGGATTGGAGGCTGAAGTCTAATTCACCCACCTAGAAGTAGAAAACCTAAATTTTAGTCCATTCTCTGCCATTAACTTTGTTAATTTAAGTAAGTTTTTAAATTTCTCTGTGTCAGTTTCCTCATATGTAATACAAAAATAGGTGTATGTTACATTTCAAATGATGCATGTAGGGAGGGGTTTATATTGGAGATTGAACCCAAGGCTTTAGAACCAAACAGCATCCCCAGAGGTTCTCTTTCTTTCTTTCTTTCTTTTTTTTTTTTTTTTTGGTCTTTTTCGGGTTTTATAGGTACCAGGGATCAAACTCACGACCACCTATTTGCAAGGCAGGCGCTTATGCCGCTGAGCTAAATCCCCAACCCCCCCACCCAGGTTTTCTTTGTTGTTATTGTTTGTTTTTTTTTTTTTTTTTTTGGTACCAGGGATCAAACTCACGACCTAGTGTTTGGCAGGCAGATGCTTATGCTGCTGAGCTAAATCCCTGGCTCTGCTTTTTTTATTTTTTATTTTGAGAAAGACTATAAGTTGTCTAGGCTATGCTCAAACTTGCAATCTTCCTGCCTTACCTTCCCAAAGCTTATCCAAGGGCTTGGATAATAGTGCTTAAATGACTTCTACAAAGATAAAATGAGATCACAGAAAGCATTTTGAAAAAGCATTATTCAAATCTATAGATGTTAGCTGGTCATAGTGCTACATGTCTGTAATCCCAGCACTCTTGGGGGGCTGACGCAGGAGGATTGCTATGAGTTCGAGACCAGCCTGGGCTGCAAAGTGAGCTCAAGACCAGCCTGAATTGCATAGCATGACTGTCTCAAAAAGACACACACACACACACACAATGTATAGATGTTATAGTATTGCTAATGTTCTGTGGTAGGTATCCAGAGAAAAGAACAAATAACTCACCAATAAATACGAATAGACAATGATGTATATATTGAACTAAAGATATAGTAAGAGAAAAGATAATTTTTTAGCCTTACAGATTTTTCTTTTCTTACAGAAAAGATCATTTGCACCTTCTACTCCACTGACAGGAAGAGGATATTTACGAGAAAAAGAAACCGTCATTACTCCTGTTGCTTCAGCCACCCAAAGTGTTAGCCGCTTACAGAGTATTGTGACTGGATTGAAAAATGCACCAAGTGAACAACTAACAAGCATTTTTGAGTAACTACAACACTATTATTTTTCTAAATGTATTTTTTAAATTAGATTGTTTTTGTTGTATTCATTATTCTTTAGTGTATATACATCTGGCAAGTCGTGCTATATCATTTCAATCATAAAATAATTTGGCCTAAAACCAGAAAGAAGTACCTATTAAAAGTTATTTAGAGGGCCAGGCGTAGTTGTATATATATATAATCCCAGCTACTTGGAAGACTGACGCAGGAGTATTACAAGTTCAAGTATGTATCTGCCAAAATAAAATGCATTAACCTGTATAAAAGATTAGATATGTAGTTGAGTGCTGTATATGCATATGTACATATAACATGCATGTTTATATAGATGTATACATATAATTTCAATTTAACAGAATTACAGACTTTCAAGTAGATCTTGAAGTTTATTTAGCTCTACCATTTCACTCTTATTATCCCTGTGTCATGTATTTTTAATTTTAGATTGACTTTGAATGGGCTCAATATAAGTGTCATCAAAGGGGGAAATTTATTACCTATTTATAGTAGAATTTTATGTAATTTTGTTTTAAAGAGGCATGTTTCCTGATAAAGATGCTGGAATGAAACCAACAAAGGTTGACGCTCATTTCAAAGCGTACTACAAAGTTACAGATTAGAGAACTTTATTTCCTAATACCTAATGAAATAAAAGAGTAATAAACATTTGCAAAAATGTTTTTAGCAGGAGTCAAATTAGAAAGAGGTGGTTTAATGAGATCAACTTCAAAATTAGTGATCAAGAAAGGAAATGGATGCATCTAGTATACCCTTCCTCAAGAAACTGTGTAGGTGGGGAAGAGGTTATATTAATAGAATCTTGAGAATGCTCATTATTACTCCAGATTTGGAGAGAAACAAATGAGTCATAAGCAAACAGTTGTATAAAACTTCACAGAAACCTCCCCAAGTGAAAGTCCCCAGGATCTCAACTGAACTATGAAAATCTACCAGAGGCTGCCACTTTCCAGGGTTCCATTATAATTTGTCACAGGAGCTTCATGAAACTAAAAGAGCTAGGCATGGTGGCTTATACCTATGATCCCAATACCTGGGCAGATATGGCTGTACAATGCCTGTAATCCCAGCACTTGGGAGACTGAGCCAGGAGGATCACTGAGAGTTGGAGGCCAGCCTGGGCTCTGTAGTGGGTTCCAGGCCAGCCTGCACTGCATAGTAAGACCCTATCTCAAAAACAAAATAAAAAAGCAAACACACTGAGTCTCAGAAGAGAAAACAAAGCCCTGAACGTCCAACAAAAGTGGCATATAGCATCAGCTGAGCTCTTCCCCTACTCCCCAAACCTTAAATGAATAAGAAAGCACACAGAACAACATCTAGTCTCAAAAGTAGCTCAGAAGATAGACAGGTTGTGAGTAAGGTAGGAATGCTATCATGGAGATCTTTCCTTAGTATTTGAGTAGATTGGTTTGTATTGAACTACTTATTTGGGGATGGGTAAGTTGAAAAAACTAGCAAGATTATTATAGGAGTATTTTATAGCAATAAAAAAGGGAAGGAAGGAAATACAGAATACCAAAGACAACTCAGACAAAAATAAATGATGAGACATCTCATGTCCATGGATTAAAAGTGTTAATGTTAAAATATGTGTTTATTCTACAATAATATATAGATTCAACTAATTTTTATCAAAATTCTACTAGCAATTTTTGTAGATACAGGAAAAAATTCTGACATTCATGTGGAGTATCATGTAACTCTGAATACCAAAAACAAACTTGAAAAAGAAATCAGAGCTGGAGGCCTCACACCTGCTCTTTTTAAAGCATATTACAAAGTTACAGTAGTCAAAACAGGAGTATATTGACAGACAAATCTGTAAACCATGGGAGAGAGCCCAGAAATATATACTTATGTATGTGGTCAAGTAATATTTAACAAGAATGCCAATACTATATGATCAGGAAAGGAGTCTTTTCAATAAATGGTGCTGGGAAAACTGAATGTCCACATGCAAAAGCATAAAGATATTTAAAAAGATATTTAAAAATTAATGAAAATGCATTATTAAAGATCTAAATGTAGGACCTAAAACTATAAACTTCTTAGAAGAAAATACAAGGGGAGTCCCTTGCAGCATTCAAATGTACAGTGATTTCTTCAGTATGATACCAAGAGAAGTAATAAAAAATAGACAAATGGGACTACTTCAGATTTAAAAACTAGCTCGGTATAGCACATGCTTAAACTCAGTACTTGGAAGGCCAAGACAGCAGGATCACTATGAGTTCAAGGCCAGCCTGCATTATATAGCTGAGTTCAGGTCCAGCCTCAACTACATAAGGAGTCTCAAAAAAAAGGAAAAAATAATTACTGTTTGTCAGATAAGAAGTTAATATTGGAGGGCCGGGGATTTAGCTCAGCGTTATAGGCGCCTGTGTGGCAAGCACAAAGTCTTGAGTTTGATTCCTGGTGCCAAAAAAAAAGTTAATATTGGAGCAGGCATGGTGTTGCACACCTGTAAGTCTAATGCTGGAGGATCGCTGCAAGTTCAAGACAAGCCTCAGCTATAAAGTGAGTTCAAGACGAGCTTAAACTACGTAGCGAGACCCTGTCTCCAAAAAAAAAATTTAATATTGGAATACATAAGAAATTTATACATGTCAATAATAAAAAAATAATCTGATCTAAAGATGTGTAAGGGATTCAAATAGATATTTCTCTAGAAGAGATAAACAGATGGCTAGAAAGCATATGAAGAAATGCTGAACATCCCTTTAAGGAAAATACAAATCAAACCTATGATGAGAAGTAATCTCAAATTCATTAGGATAATCGTCTTCCCACTCTCACCAAAAAAAAAAAAAAAAAAATGCAAGTGATGATGAGAATGTAGGGAAATTAGAATCTTTGTGTATTGTTGGTAGGATTGTAAAATTATGCAACCATTATGGAAAACTATCCAGTTGCCTCAAAGAAGTAAAACTAGGACTACCATATGACCTTCCCATACTGCTTCTGGAAATTCGCACAAAAGATTTGAGAGGGTCAGGGATTTAGCTCTCCGTCGTAAGCACCTACCCGGTGAATGTGAGGTCATGAGTTCGATCCCCAGTACCAAAAAAAAAAAGAAATTGAAAATAGACTATCAAAGAGATATTTATATGCTATGTTCACTGCAGCATTTTTTATAATAGCCAAGATGTGCAGCAACCAAAATGGATGAATGGATAACCAACATGTATGTATCAGTGTTGGTGGACCTTTTAGAGACCAAATGTCCAAACTCCAGCCCCAAACCCATTTATTTATCACAGAATCCCAATACTGCAGTTAAACCTGAATGCTGAAATTTTAGTTTAGGAAATACAACTCAGACCTTAATACCTTTTGAGTTAAATAAAAAACACAGTAATAGCTTTCAATGATACAAATAGCTTTTTATTGAAAAGTAAAATTTTGCATTTCTTCTGCTTTTGCATTGTTAATGTGCTCTTTACTGTTGTATGCATGCTGATAATTTGTCATCCTTGGCTTATACTTTCTTAGTTTGAGAGCAACATGCAGCACTCAGGTCATCTGTTAGTCTTTTTCTTGTAACAAAGTTGGTATAATTCAAAGCTGAAAACTGCTCCTTATAAGGACAAGGTGATCTAAACAAAGTGAGAGAAGCAATCCTAAGTGCTTTCATTGAATTAGAAATTATTTAACAGACATTTAAGGATTTCATTTTCAGACCTACTACCTATGGTGTCTTTTGTCATCCTTTTACACTCTATTTTCTCAAATGTGGCATGTGGGTCACAGAATTTGTTTTTTCAGATAGAGGTTCCATGAAATACCAACAGCTTCATTTCTAGATTTCCAAAATCTAACCAGTGTAAACAGGAAAGATCAAGTTCTCTAAATCTGGCTTTATCTGGAGAAGTAAAAAAATAAAGGGTTGTATCTATCTTACAGAACTGTAAAGATCCATTTCTAAAATTATCCTTTGCAATTACTGTAGTCCTAGAAAATTCCTTGTAGATTCCCTGATGGCTTGTAGGATTGTCTGAACATGTAGAATTTTCTAAATGCATATTTTGATTTGGAAAATATTGCACCTCCCCACTTTCAAGTGAGCACACTTGGCTCATGTCCTTACATGAGCTTCTGCATGCTCACTGTGGCTTGCATGCCATAGGTTTCCCACCATAATATACACCCAATATACAATGGGATGTTAGTCTTTAAAAAGAAAAAATATGCTATGACGTGAATGAACTTTTAGTACATTACACTAGGTGAAACAAGTAGATGATAAAAGACATGATTCTATTTATATGAGGTATATAAAGTCAAATTCATGAAAACAAAAGTCCTTTAAAATGTAAAGTTAAATACAAGTTTATGTGAAATTTATATATATATATATATATATATAATTTTTTTTTTTCCTCCCTTTTTTTGGTGCCATGGATCAAACTCATAACCTCATGCTTGCCAGACAGGTACTTATACCACTGAGCTAAATCCTCAATCCTGAAATTTATATCTTTATGTTATTTTACATATGTAAAATTTCACTTACACTTGTAGGTTTACAACAGACAACAGAATTTTGACGAATACAAATAACTAGGTTCCTCTTCTATTTTGTAGATCTTGTATGCGAAATCCTATGGAAAACATTATGAAAATAGTGAAAAACATTGGAGAAACTTTCTGCCAACACTATACTCAATCAACAGATGAACAGCCAGGATCTCACATAGGTAAGAAGATAATACTAAAGTTGGTACTGAATTAAAACTACATAGAATGTCCCCAGAATTGGAAATTCAAGTTTCTCTGCCCTTTATTTTTTGGCCATACTATAGTTGATAACCAGAGTATCAAGCACTACTCTGCTGCTGAGCTAGACCCCAGCTCTTAGTGTACCAGATTTAACTTGAAGTTTTGTTCTTGAATCCTTTCTAGAATTTAATAGCACACGGTACTTGTTTATTTCCCTGTAGACTTTGCTGTAAACAGACTAAAGTTGGCAGAAATTTTGTATTATAAAATACTAGAGACTGTAATGGTTCAGGAAGCACGAAGACTTCATGGAATGGATATGTCAGTAAGTAAATCCACTGTACTTTGCTACCTATTGGCAAAATCGACAAGTCTTAGCCTGGAACCAGTGTTTTGAAAGGCTCTAATAGAATATTTGAGGGATCAGCAATTTATGGTGAACTTTAACTCACTTTGGCATTTCTACGATTAGCCTTGTTGAGGCAGAAGTATAAAATACTCAATGTGAAAGTCATCTTTGATACACTGTCAATGTTCTTTCTTTTAATTTTTAAAATACTTTTTGTCTTTTGAGACATGGTCTCCCTATGCAGTTCAGCCTGGTTTTGAGCATACTTTGTAGCTCAGGCTGTTTTGGAACTGGCAATGATCCCTCCTACCTCAGCCTCCTGAGTCAGCTGGGATTATAGGTGTGTGCCACCACACCCAGCCCATCTCTCACTCTAAGCTGGCAGTATAAATCTCCAACTGTTAAGCTGATTGATAATTAAGATACTTATGTTCATACTTCCCAGAGATTTTTGAATTCTAAATTGATAAGATTATATCCAAAAGATGAGAAGTATAAAACAAAAGAGGCCTTTATTCTGAGAATGCAGCCAGAGAAAACCAAAACACCCCCAACCGCTGGAGTCTGGCTTTCTCTCTGGCAGACACGTGGCGTGGGAGGGTATATAAGTAGCCTCGGTTTGGGGTGGAACCTACGGGGGCATTAGGGATGCATGGGTAGCCCATTGGTCTTTGTTTGGCGAGATAGGTAAATTTCTCAGGGTGGGGAAGATGAAGTCACAGATAAATTCCTAGGGGTGGGGGATATAGGAGCTCCTTGGTTCCGCCTCTAAGGCTTCACCTGCTATAGTGTCCTGTCTGGGCCAAAACTATTTCATAAATGATTATTAATCTAGGGGGAAAATTTCTTTGAACATTTAAGCAAATATGATTACTCTGTTAGCTACATAAAATAATTATTGTATAATTTTCAGTCTACTCAGCTTCCCCTCCTACCTTCATATCCTCTCTTATGATTTACCCTAGTCTTTCTTTGTCTCTCTGTCTGCCTGTCTGCTTGTATGTCTTTCTTTTTCATAGTACTACAGATTGATTTCAATGCCATCATCTTAAGCTACATCTCTAACCCTTTAGAAATTACTTTATTTTTTATACTTTTAACGAGAAAAAACAAAACAGAATTTCAAAACAATTTAATAGGATACTGACAATGGTTAACATATTGCAAATTTTTATCTTTAACTTACTCAGAGTATAAGATATAGACATTTAATTATCCAAACAGTAATAGCAGAAAACCTTTCTTTTCAATTAACTCAAAGAAATTAGTGGTATACCTTTATTTTTTTTTTTTTTTGTAATTTTCGTTTTTATCGGTACCAGGGATCAAACTCACGACTGCCTGCTTGCAAGGCAGGCGCTTATGCCGCTGAGCTAAATCCCCAGCCCCATACCTTTTTTTTTTTTTAGTGGTATATCTTTCTTAACTATCTACTGCATATATATATATATAGATACACACACTTTTTAAAAAGTATTTATTTTACATTTTGGCTCTTAATTACTTTTTCAGCTTCTTATACTAGGGAGACAAAACAATGTTTACATATGTCTATATGGTTTATTTAAATTATGAGTATGGTCTCTAGTTACATCCATTTATCTATAAAACTCTCCAATTTATCTATTATCTTTTTTTTTTTTTTGTACCTGGGATTGAACTCAGGACCTCATGCTTGCCAGGTAAGCACTTGTACCACTGAGCTAAATCACCAGCCCAATCCAGTTTATCTTTTCAATAGCTCGGTAGTACTATGAATATAAAAAGACCACATATTTTTCATTTGTTTCTTGGCTGATGCACATTTGGTTGTTTTCAAGATCTAGCTATTACAAATTGTACAGCAATAACATGAGTATAAAAATGTTTTTTTTTTAATTCTTCTGGGAAGATATCCAGAAGGGAATAGCTGGGTTGAATGGGACCTCCAACCCTAGCTTTTTGAAGAGTCTCCATACTAATTTCCACAGTGGCTGCATCAGTCTGCGTTTCCACCAACAGTAGAGAAGGGTTCCTTTTTGCTCATGCCCCTCCAGCATTTGTCATTGCTTGATTTCTTGATACCAGCTGTTCTTTTCAGGGTGAGATGAAATCTCCGTGTGGTTTTAATTTGCATCTCTCAGATGACCAGTGCTATTGAACATTTTTTCACATATTTATTTGCTGTTTGTATTTCTTCTTTTGAGAAGTGTGTATTCATCTCAGATGCGATTTTTGGACTGGGTCTTTAAATCTGGGAGGACTGATTTTTTTATTTTGTTTTGTTTTGTTTTGTTTTTAGTTCTTTATATGTTCTCCATAGTAATCCTTTGTCTGAGGAACAGCTGGAAAACATTTTCTCCCATGTTGTGGGTTGTCTCTTCACTCGGTTGGTGGTTTCTGTTGTTGTGTAAAAGCTTTTTAGTAGGGTGAGATTCCAGTTTTTGATTCTTGGTGATAGTTCTGTGAGATCGAGGTTTTATTTCTGAAGTCTTTGCCTATACCAGTGTCTTCAAGAGTTTTACGTATCCTGTCTTCTAGCAGATTTAATATTTCTGTTTCAATGTTTAGATCTTTGACCCATTTTGAATTTAGTTTAGTGTGTAATGAAAGATGCTAGGTCCATTTTTAATCTTTGACAAGTACAGAACCAGTTTTTTCAGCACCATTAATTAAAGAGGCTATCTTCCACTGAATGTGGTTGGCACATTTGTCAACAATAAGGTGGGTGAGTATGTCTAGGTTTTTCTACATCTTCTAATCTGTTGCATTGATCTTCAGGCCTTTTTTTCTTTTTTTTTCTTTTTTCTTTTCTTTTCTTTTCTTTTTTTTTTTTTTTTTACCAGTATCATGCTTTTTGTTTTTGTTGTTGTTGTCGTTAAGTCATAGTAGCTTTATAGTTTAACTTCAAGTCAGGGATTGTGATGCTTCCAGCATTGCCTTTGTTGCCTAGAATTGCCTTTATTATTTTAGGTCTTTTCATGTCCAGATGAATTCTAGAATTGTTTTCTCTAATTCTGTGAGATATGCTATTGGAAGTTTGGTTGGGATTGCATTGAATCTGTATAAGGGTTTTGGAAGTATGGCCATTTTCACTATATTGGTTCTTCCTACCCAAGAGCACAGGATAGCTCTCCATATTCTGATATCCTCTTCAATCTCCTTTTTCAGGGTATTGTAGTTTTCATAGAGGTCTTTTACATGCTTTCTTAGAATGATTCCTAGATATTTCAGTTTTTCTGGATGTTATTGTGAAAGGTATTGTTCCTCTGATTTCTCTCAGTGAATTTGTTATTCGTGTATAGGAAGGCTATTGATTTTTTTTTTTTTTAAGTTTTTTTTTTTGTCTTTTTCATTTTTTTTCAGTACCAGGGATTGAACTCACAACTGCACACTTGCAAGGCAGGCACTTATGCCGCTGAGCTAAATCCCCAGCCCTGGCTATTGATTTTTTTGAGTGTTGACTTTGTAACCAGCTACATTACTGAATTTTCTTATGAAATTCAGAAGTCTTTCTGGAGTTTTTGGGGTCATCTAAGTAGCGTATCATGTCCTCTGAACATAACAATAGTTTAATTCTTCCTTTCCTGTCTTTATTCCTTTTAATCCTTTCTCTTGTCTAATTGCTCCAGCTAAAGTTTCCAGGACTGTTGAATAAGAGTGGAGACCGTGGGCATCTTTGTCATGTTCTTGATTTTAGAGTATACGCTTTCAGTTTTTGTCCATTTAGTATGATGTTGACTGTTGGTTGGTCATAGATGGCTTTTATCAGATTGAGATAAAGAATTGTTTCTATTCCAATAGAATCTATTCCAATTTTCTGTAGGGTTTTTATCATGAATGGGTGCTGGACCTTGTCAAATGCTTTTTCTGCATCTGTTGAGATGATCCTGTGATTTTTTGTCTTTGGCTCTGTTTTTTTTTTTTTTTTTTTTTTTGTCTTTTTCGTTTTTATCGGTACCAGGGATCGAACTCACGACTGCCTGCTTGCAAGGCAGGTGCTTATGCCGCTGAGCTAAATCCCCAGCCCCTTTGGCTCTGTTAATATGGTGTATTACTTTTATGGATTTACTTATGTTGATCCATCCCGGCGTCCTGGGGGTGGATCCTACTGTATCATGGTGTGCAGTCTTTTCAACAATTTGCTGCAGTCTGTTTGCCAGGATGTTATTGAGGATGTTTGCATCATTGTTCATCAGGGAAACTGGCCTGTAATTCTCTTTCTTAGTTGGCTCCTTCTCTGGTTTTGGAATCAGAGTAATGCTTGCTTCCCAGAATGAATTTGGAAGGATTGCTTCCCTTTCAATTTCATTAAAGAGGCTGAGAAATAGTGGTGTTTGGAGCTGGGAATTTAGCTCAATGGCATAAGTTCCTGCCTGGCAAATGCTGAGCCATGAGTTCAATCCCTGTTACCAAAAAAAAAGAAAAAAGAAAAAAAATATTGGTGTTGGATCTTCACTTAATTTCTTGTAGAATTTTGCAGTGAATCCATCAGGGCCTGGCTTTTCTTTGTTGATAAGTTTTTAATTACATCTTTGATTTCATTTATTGATACTGGTTTACTTAGGATTTTTATAATTTTTTTATTCAGCTTTGGTAATTCATATGTATCTAGGAATCTGTGCATCTCTTCTTTTTTTTTTCATCTTGATAGAATATAAGTTTTGTTTTGTAGTAAGTGCAAATATTTTTTTTTTATTTTAAATACAGTAAAATACAACAAAACAAGAGACAACAAAGCCAATCAAGACAATGCAGTGAAACTGGTACAGAACTTCAGAACAGGATACTGTGATAACAATAATAAATACCATGGTATATTTTGTTATCTTCATAATGCTTCTCCATGTAATAACTCGGGCCTCAGTATAAAATCCAAGGAAGCAAGAGACCGAAATTTAAGTAGCAAAGGCTTTATTGAGCTAGTCCTGGTGGCACAGTCTCTCCTGGATCGACCCAAAGACTGCGCACCCCAAGACTGGGAAAAGGGGTTTTTA